TGATGTGATCACCAGAGGTGACACGAATACCACGGTAAGTGAAAAGATTCATCACTTCCAGTGACTGTGCCCCGACAGCTAGAACCCATGGCGTATCGGTCCAGTCCTGAAACAGTATTTACACTTTGCAGGTGCAGACCATATGCCGAAACGTGCAGTGCTGCATGTAAGTCTATTCGACACAGCTTGCGCAGCTACTGCGTCAAGCCCAAAGAGAGCTATGTCGTCCGCTCGTTCGTCAATCGGTCACCCGGCAGAACTTCCACTCCGGTAGACACTGAAAGAACCGAGACATTCAGATCACAAAGATGAAGGAAAGGAGATAAAGGACAACTCTACAGAGAACCCAACTAGTCAACGATAATTCAGGAGACAGTTTCTCGTAGAGCCTCAGTGACTTCGGAATGTAAAGGAGTTTTTATGGCATACCACGGATAGCAATACCACAAGCCAGCGCGATCAACAAAGTAGAAAGTGGCTTTCAAGTTAAACGAAGATCACCATTATCAGTCATCTACTCTGAAATACGTAAAATAATACAAAAAAATGCGGAATGGCAGATGAAACGGGATGTCGATATTTCCGCGAAACAATTATTGCACTAATAAGACCTTCCAAAAAAAGGCTGCTAAGAGCTACGGGATAAGTAACTGGAAGCCTATAATTGCAGTCGGAAAAACATAAAATACGAACCACGGTCTAAAGGTAATCAGACGAAATAAGCATAGCTGTGGTAGAGAATAACAGCTGGTAATTAGAACACAGTCAGTCAAAACATGATGTAGCCTCAAAATGAGAGCACCATGCAACAAACAGAGGATGAGACAATCACAAGCTCGGAATGAAATGGAAAGAATTCAGTGGACGGCAGAATGGAAGTGAGCTGATGGCAACACCTGAGTGTTCAACAAAGAAAACATCTCACAATTGTGACTCAAGTGTCGCGAAAGGATAAACTCAGAGAGCGTCATCGTTAGCTGACCGATGCAATTCAATAAGATACTGTGTACTTAGCGGTAACGCACAAACCATGAGTACGAAATCAAAGTAAGTGATCACCAACAGAGCACTACCATAATTGCAACAAAGTGGGAAAAGCCCATCTGGTAAGTATCGATGCGGAAGCATTGGCCCAATCTGTGAAGCAGAGAAGTCGGCATATTATAAGCAAAACAACAAGGCTTCTAATGGTGGTGATTTTCAGGATGAACCCATTACAACCTCATCTACGCACCACAATATAAGAGCAGTGTTCCAGGACGTGGCGGGTTTTAGTCAGGCAAGCTTTGGCCCTACAAAAAGCCACAAATGTCTGTTTAAAAACAGTGCGACGTGGCGGATGCGACTCGCCCCTAAAGAAACTCACTGCCTTTTGCATCGCACTGGCAAGTATCCCTACACCATATATCATTAATTCTGATGCGGACGCTCTCATTCATTTTTACATACCCTTGTTAAATCTACTCGAATTCTCATTCACAACACTACTAATTACGCTGCTTCTCACCATTAAACGTTACACATTTACGTTTTCGCAGTTTATGTATCCTGACCTTTGCGAAACATCGTTGCTTGTAAAATTTTGATCATGCCTGATGTGGCGTGCCTCGAAACATTCGAGAATAAAAGTTTTATTTATTTATTTCACCCAAGAACACACACTAAGGTGGATTGACGCGTTAAAGTGACGCTGCAAGCGATAAACGAACGACTATCAAAAGGACACAAGTCGGTACGCAGTGAGGCGAGCAGACAGTTGCTGTCGGTCATCCAGCCCTCACACACCGGGGGTTGTCGTGAAACCAACTGTAGATGACAGCGATTGTGGGGTCCACACATTCAGGTGCATGGAGCGCAAATGATAGCTGAGTCACGGACGCAAAATCAGTGCGTACTGAAGTGCAGAAGCGGTTGTAAAGAGATTGCTTATGCCCATTAGAGGATGTGACCACGAGAGCATCCTAACAGAAAGGTGCAACAGACGGGTGCGTTATCATGTAAAGCGACATCTTACCTGTCGTATTCAGTAAAGGTATCCTCGCAACAATATACTCGGTTAGGCTAAACATAACGGCAACGTGCCTGGTCTATTATTCCTAACTGTAGTGAAGTAAACAGGTCTTCACCCGAAAAATTAAACCAATGGAAAACACAGACAAGTGAAAACACTCGCATCTCTTCGTATTTCCCGCTGCTTATCCTTTTGTAAGAACTCATGTATATACTATTTATGGCAACGCAGATACACAAGTACATAATGGTTCAAGGGTTAATCCTTTGTTGTAGGTTGTTCACTTTTTCTTGCACGCTTTCATCGCACTTCCCTCTGGCTGTCTGTTGTTCGTTGCTCTTCCATGCGAGTGTTTCAGACATGTTGGCTGGCACCTGTGGAACCTTGCAATGACGGCGGATGTTCCTTCATCAGCAATTCCAATCCCCACTCTCATGTGGCTCATGGTTCTCTCAATTGGATACGGACAGGAATTCAACGCGGCCCAAAATCTGACGTCATATTTTACGACGCGAAGGCGAAAAATGGAAGACAGGTGACTGTGGATAACGTCGCAAGCAATCGGTTCGAGGTCATACCAATCCGACTGACCGAAACACAATTTGAGCCACTGATTCCACACTTAACAGCGATAAATATATACATCGCCATTCGCGTCCATGGACTCCTTCGAATTCGCAAAACAATTTGCTATTTCAACATGTAAACCACTATCACAACCACGTCTCGTCTTAAATCTCAAGAATCTACTCACTTACACTTGCCAAGATTAATATTTGATCAAACAGCAATTGTCGCATACCCGCTTGCAGAAAACTGATCATGCCTTCTTTGGTATGCCTCGTGCAACATTGAGAATAGACAATTAATTTATTTTAAGAAGATTACTCGTCAGGGTGGAGTAGCTCTTCTCGAGAATAAATAGTGAAGGCATCTAGCCGTAAACTGCTCGAAACAGACTGGTTCATATCGGTTGCAGGGTGTCGTTTGTGGAACCCGTATCAGGTTAGACAGCATTCAAAAAACCTAGGTAGGGGAAACCAAAGCAACAACAACAACACCACCACCACCACCACCACCAACAACAACAACAACAGTATCTCAGACACTTGAACTGATGCCTAGCTGTCGCACAAACACAATGACAAAAAAATGCAGATTTATGACAGAGAAAGAATAGGAACTCAGTGCCGAGCCTAAATACTCTAACATACAGAGCCAAAGCGCCTACACAATGTCAACAACACACGGTCAGAAACAACTGACCGTCAATGGAACAATGGTATATGACGGGTAAAAAAGCATACACTTAACGAGTCCCGCAGGTTGGCAATAGAAATACTAACAAATTGGCAAACCACATAAGTGGTTGAAGTAAGGAGTGTCAGTGAGATAAAAGGTAGAAGTATAACAGTTTTAGGGGGATAAAGTGGTACGACGCAAAACTGGCTAAGAAATTGTTATCGTTGGTGATGGTAGCAAATAAAAATGGAGTACTCACCGGTTCGCACAGATTTACGACCGTGAATTTGGGGTATAAATCCAAAGAGGCTGGTCAGCCTAAATATATACAAGAGTTTTCGTTCATAAAACAAAGCGCAGAGCGCTCAGTGCGACGTCCAATCGTTTTTTAAACGTATCTAATGTGGGGGCACAAACAACTGAGTTTGGAAGGGCGTTCCAGGGCCCGCAGACCCGGAGGGAGAAATAGGTTCTCCGACAGTCAAGACGACTGTACTGTTGGCTCAGCTTTAAACTGTTACTGCGAAGGTTAGTGTTTTGGCTGAGCTTCAAGAGGTGGCGGCATATGTGACTGGGATCGCTCAATATCTGGTACACTAGTATGAGGTCTCCACGAAGTCGCCGGTACCGTGCAAAGATAAGCTGACATTGATGAGGCAGCTTCCCTGGGACTTTCATTGCCCCGTGGCCTAATCAGCCATTACCCCGCGGATAAAGCAGCATCAGATACAAGTTAAACTGGCAATCTGACTAGGAGACGAAGGCACACTACTGATGCCATTTGCGAGCCATGCGCAGCCTCTTCATATATTTGACGAGAACACCTTCCGAGAAAGCTTGTTGAAGATGTATCCACCTACTGAATCGCACGGATTCTTGAAGTTGAGGAAGCGTGAAACATGTTACGCTGCTCCAGTGCGCACGGTAGAGTGGATATATAGTCGACATGGTCTTATTCTAGACGCAAATCAGCCTGATATTCTCAAATACTGGATACGCGTTCTGTAGTGAGGCGACGGACGAAAGTCAAGGCTAGTACCGTCGTCAAACTGACATCGCTGTGGTTAAGATAGTCGGCGTGACTGCTCTTTGTATTTATCGCCACAATGGTTGCATCACTCTGGTCGTCTAGGATGATCAGCCCCTACTAGAACTGTGCTTTGCGGACGGCTGCACCATATAGCACAAATAGTTCGGGCTCAAGGGAATCCAGAAAAACACGTTAAAAGCGATCGAGGACTGCCGGTACATTTCGAACCTGGGTCCCTGATGGAGCCGCTAAACTAACCGACCATGTCGCAGACTGTCCCATCTGAGCAGGAAGGCGCCGAAGAGTAAGGAGCCAACTAAACCTTCGCGAAAGTGCTCCACCAGAGACAGACGGCGTTCCTTATTTGTGAATCGCTGCGCAGATTTTGTCCTTGGCTGTTCAGTGAAGCACAAGTTTATGAGACCAGTGGTGCGTAGCAGATGCAACAGCCTCTAGCAAATGCCCGTCGCGCACCATACTTCCATTTCATCAGCCATTTTTGATGCAGCAGCCTTCGTTTACAATATTTTTATCCTGGAATATTGACAATGAGAAACCCGGAGCCAAGTTAGCACCTGGATCACAGCCGAGAAATCAAACGAGAGTGAACAATGTGCGGTGTTCGATCAACTTGTGTGCAATCTGATCGGGAGATCGATCAGTCGAGTGTGCACATCCATGAAAACGAAAGCATGCGCGTACGAACATGTGACTTACTTTGAACCAGCTGTGCACCAGAGTTTCATCCAAGTCGATTACGAGGCACTTCTTGTTCACACAATCCGCGGGTAGCTCACCCAACAAATCCATACCGGGGCTAGCCTGTGATGTTTATTGTGCAGAGTGGTGAATGTAGGAAAGCATATAAATTAGACAGTAATGTGATGGAGTGGGGAACTCGGTTCAAGACACATGAAAGGTAGTCCGATGCGAGCTCAGAAAGCGTGGTCAACCAAGTCGAAAACAAACAAACGAACTGATCAAAACAAGCGGCGCTATTTCTTTAACCTTAGAATCCAGCAAAAGCCACGAATCGATTGCAAGATGTGACTCACAGGGCTGCTCACTCTTAACAAACCCAACACAAGACTAAGTACCGGATGAAACAGCAACAGGTCACCCTGTGCGGACTTTAATAATTGAAGAAATGCCATCCTAGATAAGCACGCTCATTAGCGTGCAGGAGCTTCAAGTAGAAACATCAGATGGTGAAACTGTCATTATCAGAATAAAAAGACCCCATTTAAAACCAGATGTGACCCAAGTTCGTATTAGCTAAAACCCAGTAGAATGACCAAAACATATTTGATGAAGCTTGATTGTTGGAATGACAAGAATATCGAGGGTCAAATGAGCAGATAGACTAAAGAGGGCAGTGTGGATTTCTGGAAAATATCAGAATTACGACAGGTATGAAATGCGCGTACCAGAGTGACTTCTCTTACTCTCAGCTGTCACGTCAGAGCAAATATTCTTCTTGATATTAGGGAGCGAGTATTTTCCAATCGAGTGAAGAGAGTAACATTACCCATCAGGCATAAGTTAGACAACAGATTATAACCTAAGTGCATTAATAGTTAAGGATAGCAAAAGTTTGGGTGGAGAATGAGAGAGGCAGAGAGCAATATAAGGCGATTGAATGTGGAGATCGGAAATCTGGGGGAACACGACGACTGACGTGGTTGAGGGTTTGGTCCTTATGTGTTGATTTTCCAAAGCGCGTCGTTCCTAGTGGTCCTGAACCAATCCCATGAATGAGAACGTCTAAAAATGCTAACTGCCTATTGCTCTCGTCGTCCCTGGTGAATTGGATGCCGTCGAACACACTGGAGATAAGCTCATGTGTATTCTCTAATTTGGAAAGCTTGAAAACGACGGTGTCTGACGCAGCGTACCCAAAGCTTCGGTTTCGCAATTGAGAGTGCTATCCGTGCTAGCGCATGCATCATTGCTTCGGCAACCAGTGCAGCGATCGGCGATCTCATTGGTATGCCTCTTATCAGCCTATAGATTTGGCCGATGAAAGTGTAATGTTTTTGGACAGAATCCCAACAACTCCGTCATTTGTCTGGCGTCGATTTTACCACTTGTATCGGAAGCTGCGTGTTCCTCCATTGTTTGTTTGGTCAAGTTGATGTCGACTGATGTGAACAGTGCCGTTACAGTAAATGAGACCATTATTTCGTCTCGTTCTACGGTTGGGGTTTTGAGTTTCGCTGTGAACTGTTCTGCCAATTCGACCGAGTGTTCTGATCCCGCAATTAGATGCTTTCATTGTCTAAAGAGCTGTTTTAAAAGTCTGCAGTTTGGTGCTCCAGGTAGCGATACGATGGGATGGAGACGCACTCCATTTCTGGGTACTTTTGGTAGACCGTAAGATCGAGTAGTATCGAATCTTGCGGTTGCATCAGTTTGTTTCAATTTTGTGAATCGCCCCATTTGTTCTAGTTTTAGTAGAGTGCGCTTGATATTGCCTTTTAGGGGTGTTACTAATGAGTAAGAGGATTTTAATTGTAATTTTTTAATGTTCTCATCCCAGTGGCTTACAAACTACATAGCACAGTCTAGTCTGGGAAAGCACCAGAGGCGTTTCGCCCTATTGGGGCGGGTCAGTGGAGCGCATTCCCTCGGTCCCCTACTAAGGATCGAACCCATGACCGCTAGAGGCAGATGTCAACTGGCCAGCAGCTTAAGCCACTGAGCTATGGGGGAAGTCGGCTAGGCCGCATAATCTGCAAGCTAACTGGGATATAGCACGACTTATATTCTACTGCCAAGCAGGTTACTAAGCAGATGACAATGGTTAGACTCCGAAGGTCATGACATCCTCACACTAGACGCTACGTCCATAGCATTTGAAACTAGGAGAGGCTACTTTTTAAAGTGTTGTCTGATCTTGTTTATCGGCTGGTATGTGTCGGTGTCACTGAGCATATGTTGTGCATTCATGATGTAATCGGTTTTGTCCATTAGAAACGTTAGACGTCCTTTGTCGGCAGGCAGTATAACTAACCTCTTGTCATTTTAAGACTTATCGGAGCTTTTTGTTCCGTGGCGCCGCATATGTTGGTTTCAACTTTAAGACTGACAGTTGGGATGATCCCGTGTCTGATCTGTCGTTGTTCTGCAGGTGCAATGTTGTATGACTTCAGTGTTGATTCCAGTACAGTGAGGAAATCGATGAGATTGGAGTCCTTGACATTGAGTTGTATACCTCGGACAATGATTGATTTTTGGGCGTACTTCAAACTTATCTCGGATAAATTCATAATCCACACATCGTCTTCCCTAGTTGGTTTCCGTGGCGAAATTAAATGCAGCTTCTGTTTACGCTTCTCCGCAGAATGCCTCTCCAACCCATCGTGTCGCTACCTGGAGCACCAAACTGCAGACTTTTAAAACAGCTCTTTAGACAATGAAAGCATCTAATTGCGGGATCAGAACACTCGGTCGAATTGGCAGAACAGTTCACAGCGAAACTCAAAACCCCAACCGTAGAACGAGACGAAATAATGGTCTCATTTACTGTAACGGCACTGTTCACATCAGTCGACATCAACTTGACCAAACAAACAATGGAGGAACACGCAGCTTCCGATACAAGTGGTAAAATCGACGCCAGACAAATGACGGAGTTGTTGGGATTCTGTCCAAAAACACATTAAACTAAACATTAACTAAACATTAAACTAAGCTAAATCTACAAGCTGATAAGAGGCATACCAATGAGATCGCCGATCGCTGCACTTGTAGCCGAAGCAGTGATGCATTGCGAAACCGAAACTTGATACGCTGTGTAGACGACACCGTCATTTTCAATCGTTCCAAATTAGAGAAGACCCAAGAGCTAATCGACAGTGTGTTCGACGGCAGCCAGTTCACCAGGGAAGACGAGAACAATGGGTAGTTAACATTTTTAGACGCTCTCATCCATGGGACTGGTTCAGGACAACTGGAAACGACGGGTTATGAAAAATCAACACATAAGGACCAGATCCTCAACTACAACAGCAATAATCCAGCAGTCCACAAGAGTAACTGCGTGCTAACACGTTTAAACGAGCACGGACATATTGGAGCAAAGCCGCTGCTCAGGCAGGTGGGGGAGGACAGTCCTTTTACCTTGTTCAAACGGAATTCGTACCTAAAAGGCATAATTTTGCGCTACTTAGCCCCAGATAAGGCAACAAAACACACCTCAACAAATGCAACGACTCAAAGGCAAGCCGTGTTGGCTTACATCAGGGGAATCTCGGAAATGGTAGCGAGTTTTATTGCCATTTGGAGCAAAAATGGCCCACCAACCAACAGAAAGAAGTCGAAATAAACTCTTCAAAGTCAAAGAGAATCTTAGAAAGTAGGGAACATCTGGTGTAACCTACAAGATCTGCTGCCGAAAGTGTGACAAACACTACGTAGGAACAACAGGAAAAAAGCTTGGTACGCGGCTGCATGAAAATAGCCTAACTATTCGTCGTCATGGTTGGAACTCCTTGATGTCCGTGCATATAGATGCCGAAAACCAGCAGTTCGACCGTGAGCATGTCAAAATCCTAGGAAGAGCCACAAGTCGGCAAGCACGTGAGTTTCCTGAAGTCTAGTATTCAATGTAGATTTAGAAGTCGGTTAGGAGACTCTGCGTAACATGCCCTTACAGCCGCACTGATGATCTTGAATAGTCTGGCAACAGAACGTCTGGAAAATAATCAGTCAGCTCGGCAAGAAGTGCAAAACCGAAATCCACACCCCGAGCTACGGATATTCCCAACCATCTCAAAACATGAATTGAACGGTAAGGAATATAAACCAAGGGGATTGTATGAATTTCAATTCAGACAAAGGCAGTAATCCAATGAGATAGAAAAGCAGTACCAGTTGGGTGTGCAGGCACCCACAAGACAGGTCTTTTTACAAGATGCCGTAAAAAAGACAATTCTGGGTGTACAGCGTGTCAATTTCACATATTCCGTCACATGACGCCACTTTGCAAGGTCAGTAAGCGAAGAAACGAAAGACGTTTAATGCGAATAAGCATCTAAGCGGAGATGACACCGTAACGAAAAACCATGGGTCAGCTCATAAGATAGAAGGCTTTACTATTCTAAACTTTGCAAGTCTGGGGATGGTAAGGGAACTTGTTACATATCGGTGCCAGTGACGAATACTAAACGACTCAGCAGTACGCTGGTTCACAGTACCAATGCTTTGGTGTCGCGCAACCATCATCAGTCGTACGTGGGGTAAGGATATTGCGAGGGTTGCCCGGTTGCTACGCAGGCTCGAACCCAGGTCATCTGATTACAAGGCAGAATCGTGATCCTTAAGGCTACGGGCGGTGAGTACTAAACGGTTTAGCCATCTGCTTAAGCGCTGGATACCAAATGTTAGTGGGAATCAGGTGGGGGTCTTTGGCTGAGAGACAGGACACCGCCGTGACAACTAATGGACTCATAGAGCACTTTCCCCTACCTTTCAGGGAAACATCATATATGCAAAATCCCATGGGCACTAGAAGTGAACAAAAAAGCACGTATCGTATTGTCTTAATGTATGGTAAAAACGGTCGCCATGGGAAGATGTGTGAAAATTTGTGACTCCCCTCCTTTCTCCCTTTCACTCAATTCACATTTGGTTCTCCCTGTAGCCATTTTGCTAGAGCTATCCTATGTTCAGAAACACCGTATTGATCACTAAGGTATTCGGCAACCATGGCACTGTTGGTTATGAAACGATGTTCCGCAAGGAGAGTTCTAACAATGGGGGGCGAAACTGTTGTGCTACGCAGCTGCTGCACTTGAACATGTCTGCATTAGGTATTGCTCACAATTTGCTCAATCTCCTAATGCATTCAAGTTACCACACATTCCAGAAATCCAAATCATCATCTCCCTTATGCGATCCCGTTGTACAGATCGATCAGATCATCCAGTTGGACTGTGCCTTGTTGTGATGTCAAGGAATACACCATTTATTTATTTACTGCAGCAGCAGCAGCAGCCTAATGTAAACATGGAGTTCACCATGCCATCACAGATCATCATGCAAGTAGCCGGCAGATGAAAGAGTGGACTGGTGCAAACCTAACGATGACATAAATGATGCAACCCCCATTGGGGAGCAACCGGGTGCGTTTGATGCCACGACTTGTTGTGATACGGTGATGTGTACGCAGCTGCGACAAAGTCATCACGGTATGGGAACAGGGATGGTTTGCTTCCTAAAAGTGAAGTGCGCATAACACTTGTGCGGTGACAGCGTAGAACCGAGCATGGGCTAGTGTGCGTAGAAAGACGCATGCAGCTTCTTAAAGGTGTGCACTGAACTTCTGATGTGTGCCAGCGGAAACGATGTCCGTCATCAGGCTGACACCGGGAAGAGGTGTGAATGGGAAACCAACGGTGACATAGCGCCTACAAGGTAGTGAGATCGACTGCCGCAAACAGTGTCAACTACAGTCCCTATGTTTTAAAACGACTAGTGGAGTTTGTTAAAATTATCGAGATATTAGTCCCGTCTCTACCGCTCCCAATTTAGTCACAGGAACCATATATCGGTAGCTTACCAGTCCACATGAACGTAAAGCCATTGAAATCCAGGCCGGATTACACTCTTCCAAAGTGGGTATCAACCACAGATCTTCACTTTGTTAATTGTACCTAAGTTCTGTAAATACAAACAATTGTCACCATTCATGACTTGATGATCGCTTTCGACGCACCGGATTGCGCTTGTCCGTGCTGTTGTCTCGCTTTGTATGATGAAATAAACACTTTAACCCCCGGGGTCTATGTGGACCAAGGGAAATCGTTGCCCTGAGTTCAACATGAGAAGTGTGATGCGTCAGGTGTGCTTGTCATCCCATTTGTAATCAGTTTAGTGACCGAAACCATCACTAGCGACTTAGCTCTTTCTGTCTGATTTGCGATCTAGATTTATTCACGTGGCAGACAGACACATTTAGATACAGATGAAATCGTCTTCCTAGACCAAGGTTCACCTGCTACGGGCTATTTGTGATGGATGAGGCCAGCATTGTAAAGGTTGGCACATCTTTAGTATCCTTATAACGCAAAGTTTGTCTGCATAGGTGGAACGATACGCAACCGATTAGCTAAAATACCCTGTATTTCAGTTAATCTGATCAAGTAGCCAAATAAGTACATCAATTAAAATGCCACCGGCAGTACGTCGGCAAACCGTGCCATCGCTTCACTGCCACGCAATAGTAGCGCACGGATTGGGTTTATCGCAACGCTGCCCACACTTATGCGGATTTGAACCGGTGACCTCCAACTACAAGATAAGCGCGTACTCCTTCTAACTACCTGCCAACAGAAAGATAACTATATCAAATAGTGTGGGCACATAGACGCTCGTTGGAAGGAAGCATGTCATTTCTCAAGGTCACAATCTTTTATGCGGTTGTGCAGTCCAAGAGCTCACTGCGCAACGCATTAGTACATAAACGTTTAAATCGTGAAAATACAAGCTGCATCTTGGATATCACAGCCCACCCAGCGTTATTCATTCATAACAAGAATAATGCATAGATAATGCTGAAATCCGCATCTTGATAGTAGGCGACAAATACTCTGATACAGCGTTGGAAAGTCAACTAGAGGAAAAATGTGTGTTGTCTGTGCTAGGTTTTTCAAGTATTTGTTAACTGTAAACCTCGGAATACGCTGATTTTGACAATCCCCGGGGTATTCAGTTGATGACATGGCGAATGACACTGAGAATACGATCGGGAAAATAGTTACCGTACGGCAGGAAATCCACGTGACTTTTCAGCTAAGAGGTTAGATAGTAATTCCGACATGGCATGTGTGGTAGGCTAATGGACTAGGTTCCATGCTTTGAGCTGGCAACCTCTCCATCTGAAGAGCATACACTTCCCATTCGTTTGGCTCAGAACTCGGGCTATGCTTTGCATTCCGAAGTGCAAACCTTACTTGCAAGATTGGCAGGGATCTCCTCCTGCGCTGACTCTTGGTGGGGATCAGCTAGAAGTCGCTTAAAAATTCAGCTACGTGGGAAATTGTATCAGCCCCCGAAGGATTGAAGATGAGGTCACGAACCGTATGGCAAAAGCTCGAAGTGGTTTTGCTAGCCTTCGCACCAGCGTAAAATCACTCTCGCCCTGAAGGGTAGAGTGTGCAATGCAGCCAAACGTTCAACTCTCCTTTACAGCTGTGAAACTTGGCCCATCAGATCAGCTAACATAAAGAAGCTAATAACGTCCGACCATAGGTGCCTTCGCAGTTTGGCTCACATTTCGTAGGAACACCGCATGAGCAACGAGAGTGCTCGACACCATGTTTATGGCACAGGAAGAGTAAAGGGACCACTTAGTACAGTGATTTCATGCACCACGCTCCGAGTGTTCGGTCGCGTTTTGCGCATGTCAGCCCACCGACTCCCGCGACGTGCGTTGTTTGCGCGGCCGGGGTATGGATTGAAGAAGAGGAGGGGTGGTCAAGCGATGAATTGATCTAGTGGAATGAAAACCCTCACTCCAAAGTTGGCGTATTCCGACTGCAAGGCTGGTGTACGAAGAACGATGAACACGTTTAGCTGGATACATTTTCTGACATGGCAAGGAGCGGACCTCAGTGGGATTTGTGTAGTGAGTTTCATTGTCCCTGAACATCACAGCTTCCTTCTCCAAGCACGATCTCATTTTTAGCGTAATAACAAATTTGCATAATACATTGTTTGCTGCATAGTAGCCGGCTAGTAACACCCCGGAACGATACCCATACGTTACTGGTAGCTCAGCTGGCGTGCACCTGTTGTTTTTTTCTTTTCTTATGTATTGCGGCACAGTAGCTGAGGCGTTTTCCACCTCCAGCTAAGGTGTATACTAATAAGGAATAACGTATTCACACCCCGGTTCCCGCCCTCCTCCACTCTTTATTTAAACAAGCATTGTTCGTTACCAGCGTCAGTAGGAGGATATGGGCCGCGACAACATGGTCCATCATATCTTAGCGCTCCGATCGAATAAGACCGGTCGAGCTAAACAAGTTAGATATCGACTGTAAGATACATAGAATACGGCCAGCTACACCGACGATTGCGCGGAGTTGAATTTTATGTACCAAGTCCAAGTAAGTAAAGAATATCGCATTCTGCGAGAACATGTGCTTTACCGCAAGCGCGAGAAAGACGCGGCCTAGCTTGACTCAACAAATGGACGCGATGGAGTTGACAGAAAACAGTCAGATAACCGGTGTAATTAAAATCAATCACCGAGGAAGAAGAACTTTAGTATCTTAAAAAGATGGGTGTGAGTGACTGAGTGGCGCGGTGCTAAGCCATAACAAATAAAGAGACAAGTATCAAGTGGTATGGAAGAACTGATCCATACAGACTGATTCGCAGCGGATGTAACTCACCATTTCCAAATTGTCAGAAGAATCACCTTGGGCACTGCTTTTGTCGTTGCCCAGAAGTGTGTATGTATGCTGAATGATATCAGACGGGGATACGGTGTTGTCCACTGTGTCACAATCGTCCCACGAAACGGGCTCGTAGCTACCCTGTGCGTGAGCTAGAGCGTGACCAGATAAATTACGAGTTTCAGAGTAGTTAGCAGGGCAATCTGTTGGGGACGAGCCAGAGTAGTCCACCGCGGCCAATTCAGCTGAAGCTGATGTTGGTGCAGGGAGGTGCTTGTGTCCAGTAAACCGAGGAAAAGAAAATGGATAAGAAAAACGCGTTTTTGAAGATAGTGGAGCAGGAGATAGGCGAGAAGGGATAGTTTCTGAGTATGTAAGGCGACTTGGTGTGGAGGACACAGAGGCATGTGCAGTTTTAGCTTCTAATGCGCTGAGAACAGTGGTTGGAAGAACGGCACGATGCGATGGACTGACGGAACCTGTTGGGCTATACCGGCTATCCGAGGCCAACGAACCAGAGGGCTCAATGGATGATGGAAAACAGGGATCTTTGTGAGATTCGGTGCGCAGTTTGGGTGCGGGACAGTTGGTACTTTCTGTATGTTTCTTTGAGGACCACATTCTTAACTTCCTCGACTTCTTGCCTTTCGACGTCTTGGTCGCTGTAGGGCCAGGTGGCGATACATCATTCGTACGGAAATTCTCTTCGCTTGCGTGGACATTGGGAGTGATATTCGTGCGTTTTACAGGACCTGCCAGCGGTGAACAGCAGCAGAGAAACAATCGCCAACTGGAAAATGGTCGTGTGCCTGTTGCTTCAATCAGGCGCGAAGGCGTCCGCCGCCGACTGATTTTGGACAAATCATTCTCTTTCAGAAAATAGAGGGGAAGGCAACAACAACAACAACCCGAGGTAATAAGTAGAACAAAGGGAGTAAAAGAGCAATATGCGTGGTGAAACGAAATCAGATTTATATAATGGGAAAACTGAATGATGAAATTAGATCGGTGAGCACTGCGTAGTTGAGGCGGCGCAGAAAGCGGATAGGAACAAGAAGTCTAAGTGCTAAGACAGCTGACTGCAAATTACAAAGACATGTTGAGTGCGTAAGGGGAAAACATAAAATTGATTACTTAAACTAGGTAAGATAAAAGGAAACGAATAGAGTAATCATAACATGGCTTAAGCTAAAGGACTAACCACTGCATGGTGGAGAAAGTATAAGTTAAATAGCTCATAGCATGCGAAACGCACAAGCAGGGGTGGGGAAACTAGAAGCGAAAACAGAGCATCAAAGATTATAAGACCAATACAAGCCTAGTGTGATGGAACATTATCATCCCGTCACGAGCAGGCTAGACATGAATGTGGTGTGATGGTTTGCGTACCTCGTCGACTCAATGAGCTATAGTGGTCAGGGACATCGGGTCACTTGAGAGCTATATTACCAGGTTGATTAACGGTTAGAGGTCAAACGAACTAAGTCTCACGGCCTTACAAGTTAGGGGTTTGAAATGGGATGGCGTAAATTTCTGAAAAATCGAATTGTTGAGACATTCGCTGTCTTGCGGACGGGCATTTGAAGCAAAGTCTATGGTTGAGGATAACAACCGTTCACCTGTGTCAAGGTCTGGGCCTCTAACAGTAACTCAGCCCAAGTGCAACCGTGATCTATTATTCAAAATTCAATCATAACTTGCACCGGCCGTCGCGCAAATTACAAATGGTCGCTTTGTCTGCTGCATACAGCAGGGCGGATGAGCGAAAACGCGCTACCTCTAGTGCCTCCCTTCCTTTTCCATTTGTTTCTCTTACTCCCCAGTCCCCATTACTAATAGTCCTCCTATAATTCCCAGTTTAATAAAAAGCAACAGAAATATCACTGGAGTCATATCATCTGTAGCTATGCTCAAGCACCACCTAGTGGACAGTAATCGCAAATAGCTCGTTTCCCTGGCGGTTTCGAAGTTCGCGTTCTAAGACAAATAGGTCAACAGGCTGCACTCGCACGTACGTTATACACGCGGGTATTGACGTGTGTTGTGTGCCCGAAACTGGCATCAATGACGTTCACGGGGTTGTTGAATTAACTGCACCCGGCTTATCCTTTCGCTACTTGTTGCACGCATCCGGAGACGATGATGCGTCAACCAATAGCCAAGCTGGAGTGGGCACTATTCTCAGCTCCAAGGCCGAGTCATTGTTGGTTGATTGGATTCTCATGAGCAGCCATTTATGTGCAGTCCGTCTGATGATATCAAATAAGGTTGATTCAGGAGTGGTACTACACGATGTTTGTTTGTGATTTCCGCTTATGCCCCCACCGACTGCAGCTCTAACGATGTAAAGGACGTTTTCCACAACGTAATGAATACGCTACTACGCAGTGTTACCAGTCTGAGATCGTAGTTCGCGCAGGAGACATGAATACGTAATTACGTCGTCGGAGCTACTCAGAAGCTTAGCTAAGTGGTAAAAATGGACTTAAAGGAAGAACAACTACCAGTGTCGGTTACTTAGTAGCACTGCTTTTAAACGCAGTGGGAGCCGAAGTGCCACTTAGCGTCCACCAGTAGCGGACCAGCGATGCACCGAAACAGATAACGTTGCCATAAATTACAAGTGACGAGGTTCCATCCTGGATTGCCGCTCCTACTGGAGCACCTGCGTCGACTCTTATCATGCCTTGGTAAGCAGTCGTTTCTCCATGAACCTTACCGGGAAGCGCACCATACGTCTCCTCCAATTGGCAACTGAGAAATCGTCTCAGAACTAGGCCATGCAACCCCATCAAGACGCACGGCGTACCGAACTTTCGCTGTCTTGTTCTAATGACAATGACCTCAAGTGAAATAGGCACACGGCCGCCACGCACGATGCAGGAGCATCTGATTGTGGCATTATCAATCGTCACCGCGACAGTCACTGGATATCCGAGAGGTCGGTGAACTTGTTGGAAGCCAAAAAAATCACCCGAATGGCTCAGCACAATATGACCAGACGGGCTAGTGGGCCCGAACTAAAGCAGAGCCTACGTGCTGACAACGAAGCCTGGTGGGCCAGTCTGGCACACGAAATGCAGGAGGCACCAGCAGAAGGCAATTACCGCAAGCTCATCCAGCTGATTCGCACCACTGGTCCCAGGATACCAGGTGTCAGTGAGACAATCAGAGACAGTGCGGGTGCACTGATACACAATAAGGAGCGCCGTATGGTTCGTTGGGCGGAACACTTTCAGGATCAGTTCAGCTGGCCCCGCCCCCTGCTTCCGGACCTCTTCTCGCTCGGGCGATGCAGCACAAGCCATGGACGGTTAGTTCAGAGCCTCCGTCGGAGGCCGAGGTCCGAAACGCGATCACAGCCCTCAACCGTTTTCGTGCCGTTGGGCCGGATTCCCGCCCGTCTGGACTATTTAAGGATGGTGATGAGGTCTTCTGCAAAGCAGTGACCTCCCTATTCGAACGTATCTGGAGGGAAGTGTCCCGGCTAACTGGAGCAAAGCGAGTATAGTGGCAATATACAAGAAGGGCTGTCGAACAGACTGTTCTAACCACAGGGGTATTAGCCTATAGCCAATTGTGACAAAATTACTGACCTCGATTCTCGTTCGTTGCCTCGCTGCGGAACCGGAATCTCGGATAAGGGGAGAGCAGGCAGGTTTCCGCCCAGAACGTGTTCGTATACACTATATATACACTTCGCGGCAGGTGCTAGAGCAGCGCCACACATGCCGCAGATCGACAATAGCAGTGTACCTCGATTACAAGGGTGCGTTCGATTCAGTCGATCGAGCCATTCTCTTCGAAATACTTGCGCGGAAAGGTGTTCCCACAAAATATGTGAACACCCTATGTGCTCTATACTCGAATACTACAGGCCGCGTCAGGGCCTACGGTGGCCTATCGGATAGCTTTCCGACTACAAGTGCCGTTCGTCAGGGTTATCCGACTTCCCCATTTCTGTTCAATTTCGTCGTGAACTCTAACATGGAGTGCTCTCTTGCGGAATCTCACGATATAGGAGTTGCGGTCCTGCCTGGTGAAAGGTTAATTGATCTTGATTATGCAGACGATATCGTCTTGCTTTTCGACGAGGTTGCAGCACAAGAAGCAATCAATAATAGCCTGTCAAGAATGATGGCATTCTTTGGTATGCGCTTCGCAGCTAAGTGTAGTGTTGCTGCAGGACCACCAGCTATTGTATGACCCCTTGACCCTTGTTAACGAGGAACTAGAGATGGTTGATCAATTCACTTATCTTGGCAGCTGCATCAGCAATGATGGGCGCATAGAAACTGAAGTCAGTTCGCGCATTGCAAATGTCAGGACTGTCTTCTTGAGCTTGCGGCATCTTGACCACAGAAGGGAGGTTCCCTAGGTCTGAAAGGTCTTGTACACAAGGCCACAGTGAGGGTCGTCCTGCTCTCTAGAACAACAGACAACAGTGAATAAGTTGCGTTGGCCCGGGTACGTGCTACGTTGGCCTGGGCACCGCTTATCTAGGAGGACCTTGTTTAATCTACCAGATGTAGGGTGGCGCAAGGCTCGAGGTGGACAGAAGTTGACTTGGCAGCGTGAAATGAAGTCAATGACGACCAAACTGCGTGCTGTTGCTCCCTCAAGCCTTCCGGGCTGCAGTCTACGTGACGCCTTCTGCTTGGCTTGAGACTTTACAAGACATGGGTCGCAACCGACACCAGTGGCGCGTCTGCTGCCGTCTCCTAATCAGACTGCCTTTTAAAGTGTGTTTGGTGTTGTGTTATCTCCAGGGTAATGGCTGATTATGACGCGGGACAGTGAAAGTCGCAATTAAGCTGTTTTGCCGATGCCGTCTTATCTTTGCACGATGGTCAGCTGTTTACAATGGTATGTTGTCTACACAAGGTGTAGGCGCCTTAACCCTGAATGTTTGCTTTGGGCATTTGGGTTTTTTAGTTATTCTCCCTTCTCTTCCTCTTATTATTCTTTATTCCATGGGTCATCATGGTTGTATGGCAGTGAAGCATCAGTTCAGAGGGCTGATATACTGCTGATGTTGACAATGGTGATATTGCCCTAATGACACTGAGCTACAAGTGAATAGAATCGCGGCCGCCATGCAAGATGCAGGACCTTTGCTTGCGGCACTATCAGCCGTCACTGCATCAGTCACCGGATATCCGACAGGTCGGTGAAGCCGTTTAAAATGCAGAAGAAAAACTTCCGGCTTTGATCACAATGCTACCAGACAGACTACGAGACGCGAACGAAAGCGGAGCCTCGTGCTGACAACGAAGCCTGGTGGACCGGTAGGGATTAAGAAATGGAGGTAGCAAGAACAGTAGGCAATTATCGCAGGCTTTTTCAACAGATCCGTATCATTTGTCCATGGAAACCGGGCGTCAGTGAAACAGTCAGAGACAGCGCGAGTGCACTGATTCACAAGAAGGAGCACTGTATGGCCCGTTTGGCGGAGCTCTTTCGATAGCAGTTCAATTGGCTCCCTACCTTAGGACCCCTTACCACTCACATATTGCACGCTCAACCATGGCCAGTTACTTTAGAGACTCGGTCGCAGATTGAGGACCGAAACGCGTTGACAGCCCTCGATTGTTTTCGTGCTACTGGCTGGGATTCGCTCGCACCGGCATTATTTAAGGATGGAGGTGAGGTCATCTGCAAAGCACTGATCACTATGTTCGAGCAGATCTAAATGGAACAGACCATCCATCTAACGGGAGTAATTCATTTATAGTGGCGATATACCAGAAAGACAGTGACACCGACTGTGCTAACCACAGAGTAAGTAACCTAAAGCAAGTTGTGAGCAAATTACTGGCCTCGATTCTCCATCGCCGCACTGCGGAACGACTATCATGGAGACAAAAGA